GCAATATCGTTCAGTTCTGTCCCAGACGTAGTGGCGTGAACATCGGTGCACTTCTGAATTTTAGATCTTCAAAAGTATTCCCTGTTGCAAGGTAACGTAGTGTAATAGATAAACGCTGACTTGGAGAGATAGCATCTCGCATGATAGTATTTCTTTTCTGAATTCGAGAGGTAATCATTCTTAGCAGTTCATCAAAAGATTCACCATCTAGACGCAGAAAGTTCCGAAAGTCGCCTGGTTCACTCACTCTTAGGTCATTTAATAAGTTCTCATGAGTGTACTCATCCCTTTTTTTCCACCATTCCTTCATCCATCTTCGATTTCTCCATCTTCTTCAAACACAGCCACAGCGATGGCCACACACTTCTGTGTCACTTAACATGTTGACTGGACAACAACCAAATGTACACTGAAAATCGGCAGCTAAAATATTGGACAATAATATTGTATGGTCTGGAGCACCTCGCAGTATTATTGTGCAATGATATTGATCGTCTAGGGGCCGCTTTAGAGGTTTGCAGACAACTGTACAGGGAGATGATTCAGGATCTGTAGGTATACTTTTCACCGGCCATTACTATGATCAGATAGAGATCGGATGAGACAGGCGAGGCATGTAGTACGCGTGTGAGCGATGAGGAATATATACATTTTAGGAAAAAGAACACATGGAGGACGTAGGCGAAAATGGAGGATAATATTAAAATGGATGCTAAATAAATAGGATGCCAGGACGTGGACTGGATTAATCTGTATCAGAATAAGTCCTGTGTTGTTAAAGCGGTAATGAATTTTAAGGTTGCATACACGGCGGGGAATTTCTTCGATGATAATTATGATGATAGACTTTGTTACAGAACAAGGTCCTGAGGAAAAATTTAAAGCTGAGAGAGGATGGGGAAAATTGCATAATGGGGAGGTTCACAGTTTGTACCGGTCACCAAACATCACGAAGGAGACGAAATAAAGGATTATGTGCGTGGAACGTGTAGTTTTCCTCCGAGAGGTCACAAATGCAAACGTAATTTAAATCGGTAAACCTGAAGGGACGGGAAATTATACTGTTTTATTAAAATGGATCTTGGAGAAATGGAGTTTGAGGATGTGGAGTGAATCCATCTGGCTCAGGATGACAGATTTGTGAAAGCAGTACTGGACCTTAGGGTTAAATAAATAAAAAAAAGGGAAATGTCTTGACATGGTGAGCAACTGCCACACTTTGTAGCGTGAAGTTGCGGAAATGTCCCGTAGGCAGAAACTTACAAAAACGTTGATGAAAATCAGAAACATTTCCTTTATAATGGTTGCACGTGCTGCTGCATTTCAATTCGACCCTTTGTATCGATATAAAGTAAATTGATTTCTACACTTTGAAAGTCCGAGTTAAGATTAATTCACTTTAATTACATCTACCCACCTGGTTTCTTTTCCTATTTAAGACTCACATGACTTTTTTCATTTTACAGAATTTACTCATGGCATAAAATGTAATTTTTGAATTAAATTGCTGATTCGTGAGAAGTTCAACTATACCTTAACACTTACTTGTGAAGTATATGTCCACTACTGTCACGTAAACTTGCTAAGTAGTATTTATAATCATCGAGAACGTCTTTTTCCAACCTGAAGAGGACTTGTGGGAGAATGTAGGTTAAACGCTACACATTCTTTCCTTCAGCAGTACATGACGGCAAGGGGCCAGGTTCGCGCTCCGTACATTTTATCCAAAATGACTGTTCGGCGTGGTAAGATCCAGACCCGGTCTGGACTTGGTGGCAAAGAGACAATCAGCCGAAAAGGCTCTTTTAATACTTTGAA